AATCTTTTTAATGCTTTTATTGTTAAAACCATGTTAGCATTTACATGGAGGCTGTACTGTCTCAACAGTTGACTGCTTTGTTTTTATTGGCTTAAAACCATATATTGTAACATTGTTGACTGTTAGAGGAAATGTTTCAGAAGCTAAATACTCTGTCAATTAATGATGTTTTTGTTTTTACATTTTTGTTTTGGATTAAATTAACTGTTTTCAGTATTTTACATAAAAATTTAAATTCAAGAAAAAAGAACCAAAATCTGTGTCTGTGTCCCTTTTTTCTTGATTGAGCGTGGCACCTGTGAGATATACTGTATTTTTAAGCTTATTAACACTTGTCAGTAGCTCTGTTTACATGCACAAAACTCTTTGATCGGATTGAAATGTATTCAGATTAAATAATCGGAATGTATCGTTTACATGACGCAGCTTTATTCCGAATGTCCGTTTAATCCGATTACTTATGTCCATAAACGTAGCTAGTGCCACAGTCGTGTAAWCCTGAGGCAGCATGTTTGAAAACCAGTTGCGTCAGGAAGGCTTTTCAATTTAACTMAATTCAATTAAAAATACTTTATTGATCCCAGAAGGACATTCAATGTTGTAGTAACTCATTTAACTAAAGAGTTGTAGATGTTGATGGCTGTGGGCAGGAAAGGTCTTCTGTAGTTGTCTGTATTACAACAAAGTTGAAGACACTGTTTTTCTACGACAGTCTGATGAAGAGGATGGTCAGGGTTGGCCATGATGTTCTTGATTTATACAGGAGTTGGACAATGAAACTGGAACAGCTATCATGTTAGTGTGGGAGGTTTCATGGCTAAACTGGACCAGCCTGTTGGTCAGTCTTCATTAATTGCACCAGTAAGAGCAGAGTGTGAAGGTTCAATTAGCAGGGTAAGAGCACAGTTTGGCTCAATATATTATGAGGAAGTGTGTTATGACGGACCCACAAAAACCCGGAGAAGACAAAGACTCCGCCGCCGCCATGTTAGCGGTATGGTCCGAGACAAACAACCGGCCGTAGCGAGCGCTCTCCGCCCCTGCAAAGCTTCCGTAGTTGACAACGCCAAAAACTGTCGTGGGAAGATGGGCAGAAACACGGCGAAAGGGTGTTAAAAAGACAAAACGTCTTGCGGGTATGTTCGTAAAGTCATTTATTCATGGGCAGACAAAGAACAGAAAACAATCAGGAAGTCTGTTGGATGTGGGCCCCGCCCGTCATAGGCTGCCAAGCAATGATATACTGTTAGCTAACATCATGTGATAATGAACAACCAATCACAACCTGCCTCATCCTGATACGTGAAAGTAGGTCAACGTGATGCTGACGTCCGGAAGATATCACGAGATATTAACAGTGGTCAGTGTCAAGGTGATACAGAAATAATTAGTCCATGACATATTACAATGCACACAACATTATGGTGACATACCAGAGTTCAAAAGAGGACAAACTGTTGGTGCACGTCTTGCTGGAGCATCTGTGACCAAGACAGCAAGTCTTTGTGATGTATCAAGAGCCACGGTATCCAGATTAATGTCAGCATACCACCGAGAAGGACCAACCACATACAACAGGATTAACTG